TGAGTACTAAACTTGTTTAAATTAGCAAATATACGCACATTTCCAGAGATCACTGACTGGCCAGAAGCAGCAGCAGCAGCAGCAGCAGCAGCAGCAGCACGAATAATTTTAATCTATTTTTTATTTCCAGGGCTGTGAGAGTAAAAATTCAATATTGCAGCAGCTGAACGGCTCCGGTGGAATTAAAATCTTGTCTCAACCAAAGGCTTGCTATCACAGCTGAATATCTTTTTTTTCTCTTTCACTTCAGCAGCTTCAGACGTCTCTGTAGAAATGAATAAACTCTGGTGCATTAAGCAGGGGTGAAAGGTTTTCTTATATATAGGTTAAACGGGAACAGCTGTCACGATCGTGCCAGCCACGGGTGTTGCGGATTTAATACAGCGGGCTAATTGTGTGTGGCATCGTAGTTGCCCCCCATTAACCTCACTGCGTTACCTTTTACTGAGGATAAATGGGGGGCTTTAAATCAGCCATCTGTTGCCGTCCAGCTACCTTAACACAGTCGCTCACAGAAAGGAAGTGACATCCTGAAACCTTTCAAGGACAACGATGTAGTATTCTTACAAAGAGGACATCTCTAATAAGACACATCAAAGCCCCGCAGAGCTCTATTAAGTCACTAAACACTCATTCATGAAAGGATTTGCTTTAATGTCAGGAGCTTTTTTTTTGTTACTTTTTGCTTCCAGTCTGTGAACATTTTGTGCTTTTATTGCAGCAGCTGTTGGTTTTTATGTTCTGTGATCCTCTGCAAAGCACCTTCTGTTTTTGAAATAATCAGCATTAATAGCATTTCTTTTATTCACAGCATGGCAAAGGTTTAGGATGATGCACTTGAGACACGAGGAGTGGACTGTCAGTCATTGGGTGGATTGCTGAAGAGGTCATTTTCAGAAGAGGCAAAGTCAAAAACAAATTGTTCCATGAGGACTAAAAGTCGTCCTTTACAAACTGTTTAAACATTGTGAATACAGGACAGATGCATATATTAGCGAACACAACTTCTGAGAAAAGTATGACCTACAGAATGACTTTTTCTGTTTAACTTTTGGGGAAATTCTGTTTCTTAATGTACCTGGAGAGTTGCAAATTCTTCATTTCTTTTTTTAAAGCCATGATAGGAAATCTTACAAAATAACAGCGCTGACTGCTGCATTATTGAAATGTTGTATGGTTATGTTTAATACAGAATCAGTCGACTTCAGATATTTTTAAATGAACATATAGCACTGTGTGTACAGTAAATGGACTTGAGTGTTTATGGTGCTTTTCTAGTCTTCTGACTACTCAAAGTGCTTTTCTACAGTGCACATCACACCTACCAAATTACACCCATTCACACACTGATGGTAGAGGCTGCTATGTAAAGTGACCATCAGAATGAACTTATCCCATTCATACACATTCATACACCGAAGCAGGGGAGCCACTTGAGGTTAAGTGACTTACCCAAGGACATGTAGCTTCAGGAGCTGGGGATTGAACCCCCTGACCTTCCGGTTGAAGTTGACAGACTCCACCAACTGAGACACAGCCGCCCCAAGAACATCATATCATTTCAAACTACAGATTTCAAAGTAAAGACAATGCTTCTAACCTTCATTCTTCTGAAAGCCAGCAGTCGGAGACTGGTAAAAAAAACAGTTGTTTTAAATAATTTCACTAGAAAATGACACTAACTCTCACCTGGAAACATTTTCCTACTAAGTTAATGATCTTAATTACTAGTTTCAAGTCCTCTAAAACAATTTGAAGAGGGCTTGAAAAAGCATGAGGGGTTTTCTACATTCAAATTGTGGTGCTATTTTACATAACGTACACAGTAAAGCAGGGTATTCTTTGGGGCGTGCATGGCTACCTTATGATTAACACATTGCTACCAGCCAAGGGATCTGTCAACCGGGACAGAGACAGCAATGTGTATTTACCACGTTCTGCCAACATGGCTCTCCCAATCACACTCCATCAGAAGCAAGATGGCGTTGCCCAAAATGAACTCTTTGAAGTCACTATGGCAACATCCACTTCTTTTATACAATCCATCATTCAATATTTATATATTTTGCAAAGTCATAGAAAAAAATGATCTCAGGACACTACAGAAAAAGGCAGACCAAGACCGCGCTCTGAGTTATAGTTTATATAGTAAACACTGAGCAAACACTTTGCAACATTTGGCAGCAGTGGGAAGGAAGGAACTTTGTTTCAACAGCCATCTGCAGACGGGCAAAGATACAGTTCATGCAGCGAGCATTATCCGTTCAGCAAATACAACGGCACCACAATGTTATCTGAGTGATATACAAACATTCTCAAGGATGGAGGGTTAGGAAATAACACATTGAATTAACTTCAAGAACAAAGATTTCCGTCAAAGTGCTCAATTACAAGCTCAGACTGGAGACATTTTCATCATTCAGCTGGCAAAATCACAGTAATCAGACTCGTTTGAGGAACGAGAGACAGCACAATGTGGGCAGATTGTCCATGCTGCTCTGCCGCGCTTTGCACAGTCTCTCCACAATCTTCAAAAACCAAGGTCAAGTCAGAGTCGTAATCAGTCTTTAAATCACGTCGGACGCTCCCAAGTGCAGCATAAAATCTGGACTGTTTGTTAATCTGACTGAGGGCCGGTTTAATGAGTTTGGAGACGACTGCTCGATCACAGGGCCCGAGTACAAGTCCCATAAGTCCCGCTTAAGCGTCCTTGAGCAGGACAGCGATTACCCAGCACTCCTGATCCTTTGTGAAGTCGACTACCGAAAGCATATTTCACTGCACGGATCAATAACGCTCTTAACTTTACTCTCAAGGACGATCCGTTTTACAACATCTTGATTTAACTGTCAAAAGCATGTGAACAGATTTACTCGAGGGCTTTCTGTGAAGGAACAATCGATCAGTGATTTTATGTTTACATTTGTCATTTACATATAAATACCATAATCATTTTTTCAGCCATAACTACTGTAGTTGGGAGAAAGACACAAATCAGGAATTCTAGTGGGATGTTTGCATGAAAGCGGAGTCTCAATGCGTACTTTTTTAGACCAATTTTTTAAACACCGACAGACAGACAAAATTCTCACTATCACCCAATTCATGAAGTCCATTAAACTGAAACATTTCGGGTCTTACCCTCTGCTCTGTCACTGCCATTGCTGTCTCTGCAGTGCTGGGATTATATATCTCATTACTTCTCAAATCTGTATTTAAATTAATTCTGCAAGACGTGATGGGGTTGGAGCGTCTAGACGCCAAACACAAACTTTGTTCTGCAGCTGCGATACACATTTCCATCTGTTACAAATGTGAGTCGTCTGACTGAACTCAGGTAGGATTTGATGTGCTTCACACAGAGATCCTTTCATCTCGTGAACACAAGATGATTATCTTTTGGGAACAAGTTTTTATCACATCGTCCTCATCTCGTGGGAAGTTATAATGTTCCACAAGATAATGACTTGTAAAACCATTTTTAAATTAACTGCTAACACCGGAAAGCAAGTTTTTTGAAGTGTCTATAGAGTGATTTACTTGTTTGGCAACAAAATAAAGAATATCAATTTTAGATCAGGAGTTAACGTTCAGTCGACAAAATGTCAACCATCGCTCGCATTACAAGACTGACTTGTTGGTTAAATTAATTGTTGATATTTTTTAACAATTTGGGACCAAAATGCCGTCAAATTTTGCGTCTGAGCTGCAACACAGCCACCCGTCTCTAGCCGAGGCTGTAGCTCCTGTTAATGTGCCATCACTCTTTGCTCTACTGCCCAGGCTTAAAAGAGCACAGTGGATGGACGGCATCTCTCAGGAGCAGCTCAGTTTGGCAGTACTTGAGGACAGAAGGCCGGTGCAGCCAGCAATGCAAACGTTTGGAAAATCAATTTGACATATCCAGAGATGCTGTGATCCCAATCTGTCTGAAAAGACAAGATATGCTTCCCATGAACTATAATAAAATGCGCTCAGTGTTGACTGTTTTCTGAGTGTTGTCTTAACTTTAGACCACTTTCAATTTCAGTTTTATCCACTGGGAAATTAGTCAGCAGGAACATCCCCAAAGTTAGTAAGTCCACACTGCTGTGGTTCTTACTTCTTATCCTGTGTTGTTATTATTCAGGAGTAGAACGACCTGCCAAAGGTGGACATGTTGTTTCAGTCAGATTGTATTAAGTACACAGTGTTATCATCTCACAGCCAGCAGGACGGCTTCCATTAGTGAAGCAGAAGATGACAAGCTGCCTCAGCGTGTCCGGTCTTCTGCTGACTGACGTTAATGTGACATGTATTCAAACACGGTGCGGCGCTACTTGTTAAAGTGTCACTCTGATGGAAACTGTGCGCTGCATAATCAACGATATAAATCATGATTAAATGAGCAGTCTGCAAAAAGAATGAAGATGCATGGTGAAGAAAATGGATTTTTAAGTGGCACGCCGTAATGATGCACCAAATATTTACATACATCTGCAAACCATCTGCATGTAATTATCACGTCTGTACTCATGACAGCACCCATTTAAAAATAAATACAATTCTGCTCCTTGAATTCTGGGGGCGTGTCCAGACTTTCTGGACTGGGGTGGCCGAACTGGGGAACCGACTTGTGCAAGGGTGGCCTGAATTTTGTGAGCACACACATGAAAAAAGAGAATTTATACATCAACTTTCAAGTAACACAAGATAATAGCATATATACATCTTCTACGCTTAATTCTTCAAGGACTAAAAAAAAAAAAAAAAAGGTACTTTTGTACCCTTTTGTACCATTTGTACCCTGAAAACTTTGAGCTGCCTGTTGTTACACAGCATGAATGGTGAATTTCACCTTAACTCCCGCCTTGGGGAAGGCAAATGACCAATCGTAGTTAAGAAATTGGGGTGGCCAATAATATTTCAAGGAGGGCCCATGCCAACGCTGGTCGCCCCTCTGGAAACGCCCCTGTTGAGTTCATATTTAACTGTAAAATAAAGTGTTGATCATTGAAACATTTCGAATCAGACACAAACATTTTATTGACTGATAAGGACACAAACTTATCGACAATGACGAGGACTTTTTTTAGCCTTACAACAGTTTTTTTTTTCATGAACTGAAAATACAAAGTTACAGTAAACATGCCTTTTGATAAAAATATCTTTACAAAAAAATGTACATTTCTATACAACAGTTGTCAGTTACACATCTCTACAAGCTCCAAGACTCTTGTTAAAACCTGCAACACGCCCAACAAACTGTCAGTATATTGTTTCAGATTTATTTAACTCAATAAAACCCTTTTATTTTAAAAGTCTTTTGATATTTAAAATAAAACAGGATAAGGACTATTTACACGGCAAAGTCAAAGCGAGTGTTTTAAGGTGACCCAGATAACAACAGTTAAAAGCAATGAGTTATTTTCTTGCAAAATGTTTGACACATCACCACCATACTGCTCATTAATAAACCGGCCACCAGCAACAAAAACGAAAAACAGAGACATGTAGCAGAGCCATTTCTCTTAGCGGTACTTTTGGGTACAAAAATAGTGCTAAATATTACACATTATCATCATACAGCAGACATTTATTTTCAAAGAGCTGCAGGACATTTGCTTTTATGTTTTGCTTCCCAGGAGCACCGCCACTGTTGACTTTTGTGTTCATGAATTTGTGCAAAATAATAAATTCTGTTGAAAAAGGTCAGTTTCATCAAATCAACGACAAAAACATTTAATTTTTTCTCCCCGGTGGTTTTGACTTATTCACTGAGGGGAAAGTGAGAATAAGAAGTAATAGGGATGAATACAATTATGTCTATTGAGTTCCAAAACAAATCAATAAAACCCAAACACTTTAAATAAGGTTAAAAAAAAACCTCATTTAGGATAAATGAAATGGTAACACACGATCCCCCAGAGTAATGAAGGTGTTGCTTCTGACAAGAGACGCTGCTGTTGGATTTTCAAAACACAATTTAACACTTCAAGTGCCACAAATGAAATGTATTCTACCACGTTTGCACCTGATTGGCTTCTGTTCTCTGGGGCTGGAATGATTAAAAAAAAACCAGTGGAAATGAATCCCCAACTATCTGCATCAAAACAAACCAAATAACTTGTTAAACTACCAAAAATACTGAATCCAATGAGTCAAGTTCCGTACATTTTGAGTTTCTACCGATGTTTGCTTAGCGTAAGAATTAAGGAAGTCCGATGTAAAGACGCCCGTGTGCTGTCAAAAAACATCCACAGGACGAGTAAGTGAGCGGTCAAAGTGAACGGAATCCTTCAAAGGGTGAAGTCGAGCAAAGGAAGAAGAGTTCAAACTTCAAACTGGGAGTCTCTCCAATCTTAAGCTCGTTAAAGAAAGACAGTTACACTGACTGTGTTGACTGTTTACATTACAGCACAGTGGAGTTATACAAGAGAATTAACTTGCCTGCAGTCACTGAATGGGCAATGATAACATCAGTGAGTGTTTGATAAGATGTTAAAAGAAAGGTTTAGCATATCCACGAGCTTCTCAGCCTTGGGAACACATGGATCAGCAGACTGTTTTATTTGCTTTGGCTGATGCATCTGGTTTGTTCGAATTCAATTCCATCCAACCTAAATCAGGTCTGTGGGCGGTTCTAAACAAAACCTATGTAGCCTTAAAAGCAAAAAAAAAAAGGAAGATAGCTGCCGCTGATTTGGAAGGTTCTGATGTATCTCTCGATTCATAATAAAACAGGACGCTCAGAAGTTTTTGTATAAAGGGGAAGTCTTGATTACTAAGTACTAAACAATGATGTATTGTGTTGAACATCTAAATGAGTCGGCTGTTGGAACTAGCTACCTTTGCTTTGATTGGCTGCTGTATCCAGAAGTACTTAAGTCTACGCCAACTGATGGCGTCCCCTTGGAATAGAAAATTAACCGAGAGGTTCCAGACAAATTCCGTTGCCAAAAATATGGGTGATAGGGACGCGAGCTAACTAGCTTTCCTAGGTTCTTAACCTCATTAGTGCTATTTTCTGTCTGTCTTGTGTGCTTTCAACCACAAGTTGAGTGAATTTTGAGAGATTGAATCAAGTCAGACTGCACCTTTTTAAGGTGTTAGGAACTGCAGCTCTGATGTACCAGAGGTCCCAGCCAGGAATGAGAAACAGATGAGAAAAATTGGGACAGTTCTAACGTCCCATGATGACTGAAAGGGGCCCAAAAACTATCAGGACATTCGCCATTTTTCTTCCAAATATTATTTTTTATTTTTCATGGGGCCCAAAATCTATGAAGACGCCTGGTCCCAGCTAGCTCAGACTCATTATTGATATCATCAGCCTAATTCATTTTACCAACACCTGGATCATTAGCTGAAGCTGAAAATATCCTTCCGAGTACGGCTTTAAATTAGAAACTGAGTGGTTGAAAATGGCAAACATGCCGGTTTTAACTGCTTGAGTCTGTTATATAATAGAAAAAAGGGCAAATGTGATGTGAGTAATGTACAGCAGAACGCACTGACATCCAGTCACTTGTAACATAATTCACTGTGAGTCAATGTATTTATAATGAGGTTAATTATAATTGTTCAGCCGAAGCTCAGGCTGCATCTGAAATGTTGGTGTGTTGGCAGCTCTACATGGAAGCAATATGAGCGACAAATGGGAAACTAGACGAGTGAAAAAAAACAAAAACACCATTGACAGCCAGTTTGGCTTTGTGTGACAAGAGTTTTCTTTCCATTTCCACTTTTATTTATAGGATAGGGATAATTTTCTATCGCATATTATTTGTTATTCTAAGGCAGCAAGATCCAAAGTGCCGTACTAGATAATCTCAAAAATAATAAAAAATGGAATCAAATACCGTTTTTCAAAAAACTATAAAATGAAATACATTTTCAACAGTTTCCTTAATGTTGCCTGGCGCCCTCGGCTACATAAGGCAGATTCAATTCCGGACGCCGAAGGAGATCAAGGAGTCAAGGAGGAGAAAGGGCGTTGGCTCCTGAACAGCAGCAGCGCATGTTGGGATGCGCAGGCTGAGCGGGGGAGCGGTGCATCGAGACATTAGGGCGCTGCTCCCTGGCAGGAGGCCTTTGCTGGTTTTGGCTCTCTTACTACGGGGAGCCCTTTTCTGCTTCTCAAACTTGGCAGGAGGAGGATTACATGATGGAACAGCCCCTCAGGGTACTCGTGTGATAAATGGATAAAGCTGGATAAAGTTATGCTCACAGCTATTGGGCTTATGTACGAGTCAAATCCAAAGTAGACGGCACCTATGTTTCATTCATTTTTCTGAATATCACACAGCGGGCACAGATTGTTCTGTCAGTTATTCTTTTTTTTTTTAGCAAAAAAGAAAAAGGTTTTAAAATCACGGTTTGTGAAATTACAGCGCTAAACACATTTCATAAAAGCAGCAACGATTGATCAACGTCATATTCCTTTCCCCTCTGAATTCAACTCATAAATCAGAATAAAAAGGCTCTATTTTCTTCCAATCGGTTTTATTTTCAGGAACAGGATTAGTGAATGATTCCGTCAGTCTCTTGAAATGAAATAAAGATCGCACAAAATATCCATGAGGCAAAACTGCATTAAAATGGGTCTCGAATACATTTTCTTTAGAAAGCACATCACACTTGGGCGTCTAAATGTGATTGAGCGTCTCTTGAACACAACTTACAGTCCAAAATGGATGTCTCGATTTCCCTCAGAGATGCTTTTTTTTTCTGCCTCTTGAAGGTGTAGATGAATTCTAATACCACCGACCGTGGGAGTCTGCCGCCTCGTCCTGGAGTGACAAAAGGAGAAAAACTGATGAAACACATCAAACATGGAGGCTGTTTATAATGCTGTAAATCTGATGAGGATTAGGCCGGGTTTGAAAGCTTGTCCAGTTTGAATGGACTCCGAAATATCTCGGGAAGTGCTGAAATATGTTGCTGGTAGCCTGAGATGCCTCTATAATCCTTCTGGACATGACTTATTGGACGTTCTCCTCGCACAGATTTTCTATCCTCGGTAGGGCCGCGAGCAAAACATTCATACATTCTGTGCAACCTCGAGTGGGATTTTCTGGTTTTTAAATGTATGCGCTGTGAGGAGCTTTTGTGAGTTGGCTCCTGATAGAATTTCAAAACAGGCATACATGTGGAAAGGAAATGGAAAACTGGAGTGAAACATGTGGTCTCTGAGGCTACAGAGGACTGGACGGGTTTGGGGGGGGGGAAGGTTTTGTGCTGGTGCTGAACTTTTTTTTGCTTGTATCTTAAAAAGAAAAATACTTTACAGCAGTGTTCATTTTGCAGACAAAAACGAGGACAAGAATATTTGTATATGATCTTTAACCAATGTGAAAAAATGACCAAGGAAGCAAATCAAAGAAATTCTGAATAAAATGATGTTAACTATTTCACTAAAGGAGTTAAGGCTAACAAATAGCATTAAATACTAACTCTAACTTCAATGCTAAACCTTTATTCACCATTGGTAATTATTATCAAAACTAATTAATATTAGTTTTAAGACTAAATTAAAACCAGATGCCAAATATAACACTGCCTTAAAGTCTTAGATCCTTTTTGGATTCCTTCCTCTCGCCCAGAAGCTAAAAATGAGACTGTAACAGAGCTTTACTCGTTGTTATACCAACTGTGTGTGAATCCTAAACACTTCTAAGCATCCCCGCTATGAGAAGCCAGCCAGCACCGAGCCAACTGATGATGTGGACTGCATCATTACCCACAACACCCTGAGAGGCCGGAGGCACAAAACTCTTTACCTTGGGCCTGGCCATTCAGACCGCCTTTCCACACAATTCAATTAAACGGAGGTTGTTTATGGACAGTTCTGGCCCATTTGAGTGCCATTATTGCTCCCTGTGTTAAATTCTGCATTAGCGTCCCTTCAGTGGAGCTGCTCTTTCAAATGTCATAGAGCTTATAACTAAGGAGATGATTAACGGATGTTTAGAGACGCTAAAGACACACTTCAGTGGCTCTGGCTTTTTAATGAAGACCGGATGTACGGCTTTATAACGAGCACTGGCCTCCAGGAGATTTAGCAGTCTTGTAGAAAACTGTTAAATTTGGCATTACGGACTCTTGTAATAAACAGAAATTTCAAATCTCTCACCTTTTCTCAGTTGTCAATATCTGATACGTGGTTCTCTATCTGTAAAAAGAAAAGAGCGAAAGTTTAATGCCAGATATTATAAAACCTTTTTTTAAACTGAGCATACAGGTCGTATTCAATCTTCTCTAAAGGTCACAGCTGATGTACGCTGAACAAGAGCAGCAATGCCAACCTGCAGAACTGTCTTTGTGCTACATTATCGCCACCTGTGATCATTGTGACCTTCATGAGAGAAATAAATCTCTCCCACCATGTCTCTGAAAAATAAGGTCTTCCATCAGTTAGGGCACCGAGCTTTTATCAAGGATAGTTTGCCCACGCTCACCCGGTTATTATGCTAATAAATAAAGCATAATAAAGACAGCATAGTCAAAAGCATGGCCTCACTACACAGCTGAACCCAGGTGAGACAGAGGACGTCAATACCTTAACATAAATTACTGTGCAGCATGAAATTCAGAATCAGAGAATATAATTATATACATTTTATACAAATTATGTATAATATGGAGCACTCAGGATGCTTTAAAGCCCCCACCTTCAGGGTTAACTTAAAGCTGAAATGTAAATTCAAAACCGTAAAAGGGCCATGTCTTTGAAAGAGGAGAGTAATTATATCATCAAGTTTAAATCCGACAATAGCATTCAAAATGCAATATAAAGCAGATACCTCTTCTTTTAAATTTAAAACATGGCTGGCCTTCTTCAGTCAATAATTAGTTTTCAACTTATTCCTGAACACAACAATTTCCAGCTGAGTTTCATATTAATAAATCAAGTCTCAATCTTCTTCATGTAAATGAGCTCAGGGAAGGTAGATAAGTTCTGAGTATTTTCAGGTTTTGTGCTGTTGAAGAAACACGCGAAGCTTCGTGATGACATCAGTGTGAACACAGAAATTGTGATGGTATTTTTTTGGCATTTTAATGATTTGCGTTAAGTGCAGCTTTGGCATTACAAAAAAAAATGTTTCCATCCATTAACCCAGTGTCTTCTGAGTGAACCTGTATTGTTTGAAGCTCAGAAAAAAAACATTACTTATGATTTAAGATGGCAAAATGAAACGTTAGAGTATTTAACTGTGAGAAAATGTGCTTGCTGTCTTAATGAAGGCCCGACAGATATGAGATATTTGAGGCCGTTACCGATATTAGGGAGAAAAAAAATCAGATATATTGGCCGATATCTTTCTTAGAGCAATCTTTGATCTTTAGAGATATATATAAATATACACATTTATTGATCCTTCAAATGTTATCAAACACTTGTAGAAAAGATATTTAATGAGGACCAGATGTTCGCTCAACTGGAAAGTAACTGCAAATGTGTATGAGTGATAATCGTTATCCATACAGCACACTTTGCTGGAGAAGGAGAACTGCTACAATGAAACTCAAAAGAAATGCTACTGGACTGGTGAATAAATCTGGTAATATTTGCGCATATCTGAAATAAAGTTAGCCGATACGGAAAGTAACATGATATGCTAATATCGGCCGAAAATATCGGCTGCACGATTAATCGATCGGGCTGTAGTTTCTATCACCTTCAAGAAATAACAGCAACATTAGCAACATTAGCTGGTCCTCATTTTTCTTCTTATGCCTCTGTACAGAACATGGGGCGTGCACCAACCGCTAGGCTACCTGGCTCTCCAAATCAAATCTTCACGAATTCAAATTTGCAATACCTTTTTTTTTTTCTTTTACTTTTTTCAACATTGTTTTAAAAGTAGCCCCCTGTTGGCTTTTTCTGAACTGGTGCTACTTCTTCAGTGACCTTGTGAAAGAAAACCTCTACAAGATATTCAGCATTTAAACTTCACAGTGAGATACACACCAGTCCATGCAGGTGTTAAACGCTCTCTGCTTTATTTATAGCCTGTATGGGTGAGAGTGTGTGTCCGTGTGTGGGCCTGTGTGGAGCCACTACTGAGCTGGGGTGGACTGGGAGAGACTGTCAGTCCAGGCGCCCTCACCATTCACTCATGAGAAGCTGGGCTCTCTCAGATCTGTGGCCATGAATAATTCCGGAAAAAATTTTACTTTCAGAGGGCGAAGACTGTCTGCCCACTTGAGATCTCCCAGAGTGCCTTGCTCCCTGCCTCCCTGTCAGCGCTGTCAACTCGTTTTCTCTTACCAGATGGTGGCTGCCCTCTTCGTCGTAGTCGTCCTCGCCTCCATCGGTCATCTCTCCGGCCTCCACGTCCAGCGCCCCGTCGCCGGCCTCCTCCCCAGAGTTTTCTGCCGTCTCTGACACAGACTCCTCATGCAGCGAGTCGCAGTTGTCCTCGTACTTTCTCTGAGCCTCTGAGTGACAAAAGAGGGCAAAGAGAAAGTTTACTCAGCTGCCCTCTACTGTGCTACCCCGCTAGCCATACGCTAACTTAGCAGAAACAGGCCTATTTTAACCTTGGTAGCTTTTGACAACAGCTGCCAAGTTCTTGTATTTGACTCCGATTTGACAAATAACTGAGCAAAATAATAACTTAACAGCAACCCACAGCATACATGTATAGCTTTAAAATGAGCCTCAGCCTCATGGTATCATGAATCGAGTGTAGAGGGAGGACTGCTGCTGCTGCTCTGTAGGCTAGATGTTAGCTCACTATGCAAACAAAGGCTTATTAAATGCTAGAATCAGGGCGGGTAAAAGCGCACTTCAACAAACTATTCGGTCGTCCTTTCCTTGATGGAAAGCAAAGATGATGTTCACTTTTCATCATTAGCATTATTTTGAGGGTCAGACTGTTTATTTATTTTTCCCCAAGAAGCTAATGTTGGGCAGCAGTAGCTCAGTCTGTAGGGACTTGGGTTGGGAACTAGAGGGATGCCAGTTCAAGTCCTGGTACAGACCAAGAGTATAAAAGTTGCTTCAGAGAGGTCACAAGTTACATCTCGAGTACTGCAGAGGTCCCTTCAATTCCACAATTCTACAATTCCTCCCCCTGAAACAGTGAAAATCTTCCCACCTTTGTTGGATGTGTTCTGGACTGTTTTCCTCGTATACTCTCTGACGTCATCCTAAAACTTCTATCCACTTAAAAAAAGACTCAGCCGCCTGGATTGGATTTTTTAATTTCACTCATCCTGGCGTCGCTGCACTGCTTAGTCATTGTTTTTCGAACTGATTACAAAGAAAGATTAAGTTTAAAAACCCCGACAGATCATGCAATAAAGATTAGTGGTTCAGTTTCATTCTCACTTCGAATAAAATCCCTGAACAGTTTGTCTGGAGGACGACCGAGACGAGGCGTGATTTATTCAGAGCTCAGCTGTCAGGGGGGTAAAAGAAAGAAATCGCTCAGGTTCAAACAAACGATTGCAAACATTCACAATATGGTATGAAGTCTAAATGACCTTCCCACTGAGACTGAAGTGGAGGGCATCTATAACCACCTCTCATATGAAGTGAGTCAGCATGGCGTTGACAGCTGTCTGCTGTTATGACGGAGGGCTCTGCTGCTCTTATCTGCCTGTCTGTCACTGTGACTTATGGACACCGTTTGCTCTTCATTTCCTTCCCTCACTGCTTTTTTCCTTTTCTTTTTCACTTCTCCTCTGCTATCCCCTTCTTCTGCTTCTCACCACAATCGGCTCTCTGCTGCTTCTCAATCTTCTCCAGGCGTCCCAGCAAAGAGTCGATCTTCATCTTGATCTGAGTCAGCTCCCGTTTGATCGTCTGGAGCTGGTCCGTCTTCACCGCTGAGGAACACAAACACAGAAACACGCATTTATAGCTACTTAAAGTTAGTTTCTCTTACTAACTTCATGTAATGACGATGCTTCATACAGTTGATCTCAGGCTGCACGCTGTCATCTGCTAATACTCTTAGTTTTGGGTGGCACATCGTCCCTTTGAGTCACACTTTCCTCAGGGAAGAACATCTCAGTCTGGCCAACTGCAAAGTTACTGAGCTAAAACTGAAGACCTGCTGCTTCCAAGTAGAAAGATGACTGCTTGGCTTACGTCCACCATGCTGTGCAGAGCTGCTCAAGTTTTACTCAATAATACCAATATCTGAACACACAAACGCTATGCTATACTTCAGCAGGTGCTAGTTAAATAAAACATCAACATTGTTTAAGCTTTAGGGGAGAGTTTGAAGTCAGCTGACTGCATCATCAATTCGAGGCAGACGGCATGTATCTGGAAGAGATTATACTTAAAATGTTCATGCCACAAAATCTTGATTGTGGTAATACTATTGCTCTCATCTTGTTCTAACATCTCTACTTGGTGGTTGCTGTTGTTGTTGTTGTCAAGGGTTTTGTTTGCAAATCTCTAATTGGATGCAAAACACAGGCATACAAAGTAAATGATGCAGTTTGTTGTCATGTAAAAAACTTTACTGGCTTATTTTAATTCCAAGACTTTAACCCTCACACTTTGTAACTCTCACCGAGGATTGTTTATCAGGGCGGGCTTTGATGTGAAAGCAGTCACAGACAAGGGAAAGTTTTTCTGAACACACTAAAGTTGCACACTGTAGTCTTTTGATGAGTACTCAGCAGCTCAGCTGAACATAATGAAAAGTCAAATTATTCCAAAAGTAAGCAGACACTCAAAACATCAAAATGTACAATATCAAAAACATCTGGATGTCTTCATCCACTTTTCCTTCAGCAGTATTTTAAAAGCACATGGTGAAATGTAGAGCTTCTTTGAAACTCAACTAACTTTTGGGGCTTTTTATTTGAAATGCAGGACAGTGGATAGAGTTGGAATTCAAAGAGAGAGATAGTGGGGAATGACATGCAGGAAAAGGAGTGGAAAGGTCGGATTCAAACCGGGCCGCCCGCTTAGGAGGACTATAGCCTCTGTACATGGGGCTCGTGCACTAACCACTAGGCTACCGGCGTACTGTGATGCTTCGTTTATGGAATATTTGACTGAAAATAGTCTCAAAATAACAGTCCAGGTTGACGCCGCCTCACGCCCAATGACGTCCACGACCCCGAACGGGAAAAGCGGTAAAGATAATGGTCAGATGGATAGTCTCAACGTGGAAAACAGTTACACATGAAGTGCAGAGAAACAAAGTGAGATGAAGTGCAGAGAAACAAAGTGAGATTTAAATGTCAGAACAGCCGAACTGCAGAGAAAACAATACTTCTCTCTTTATTAAAACATTCTAAAACCTTGCTAAAGGTTATTTTTGAAGCATGAATATTAATCCTCAGTATGTATATACAGAGGTTTCTGTTCATTAGTCATGTGTAGCTAAAGACAGAGGACAAAGTCGCTGTGATGCTCAACACGTTTGATTAGAACTCTAATCTGTAAAAACTCAAATCAGAGAGTTTCAGTTGTATCTTTTTTTATGATTCATAAATGCGACTCAGCCTGATCGTTGCCTCAGTAGCTGAGAAACAGTGGGCGCATTATGCCCTCCCGCTGCTTCTGTTTACTGCCTCATGAATAATTGCTCCCCCCATCCTCCTGCTCTGCTTCGGATCTCACCCTCGCTGTGTTCTTCACAATACGTATCTGAGATTTGGGTAAATGTGGCGTAACCGTATCATGTCAAAGTTTGAGTGGAAAACCTTGATATGCTAATGAGATCTGCTGTAAATAAACAGAAAAACACATCCCTCTGAAGGGCGTCACCATTAATTCAATCTGTCCCGTTCTCGACGGCTGCTGAAACGCGGGTGTGCTTCTTAGCGGCTTGAACGGAGCAGATTAAAAGAACTGAGTCCATAAAGTAATGAGATAATCTCGTTCTTTAACCCTGGGCGGCTGAAATGTGTCATCTTTTGAGCGGAGGAGGGGAAGAAAAAAAAAAAAGAAACCAACAAGACACCAGAAGTTGAGAGGGAAACAGAAAATTCTCTTTGACACCTCTCAGATTCTGTCAGTTGCTGGAAAGAGGACGTACAAACAAACCCACGAGTTTCTGTTCAGCATGCAGCCGGAGAAATGGAGACACACGGAGGCACGTGTGGGATAGAAACATTACTCAGTTTGAAAAAAATGAAGGCCAAGTAGAGTCAGGTGCATACTGTGTGGCTGTAAAACGCAGCAGGATGAATCACGTGTGCATGATAAGAACATGGCTCTATAATGTTGCACTGATGGCAGTAAGTCGGAGCAGGAGTCAAAAGATTGAGTCGCATGTTGTTTTGTGAAGCAGCCTTCGACTGTAAAGCTCCACAGAAGCAGAAAATTGACCTTCCTGGGTGGGGAAAGAGCAGAAACAGAGCATATACAATGATATCTGGACGGTAAGACACACTCCATCTCAGTATCACCTGCCTGCACTGTGTGTACAAACCATCAGCCCTGAATACACACACACACACACTTCCTTATTCCAGCATTATCTGCGCTCGCTCTGGGCAGCTTACAACTCGTCCTTTGATGATAAGAAAGTGTGGAACAGTTTTTAATTTATCGCCGCCTCCAGGCACTTTTTTCCTTTTGTGCTATCAGTCCCCTAAGCTGCGGGGAGAAAACATACACATCCTAATCCACCATCGTTTCATCAGCGCTGCATCTTCAAATAGCTCGGGTTCAAGGAAAAGAAGGGGAAAGCAGCATTGTTATTCTTAATAAGCATCGAGGAAGATTTAGGAACGAGTAATGGATCCGATTTTAGGACCTCATGATGAACTTTTCTTGACTCACAGGTCTATGAAGATTAAACCGGAGAAACAGGTTTGGGGATGGTGGATCAGACACAAATTAGACTCTTCATTGTTGTAGGAAAAGAGTGAAAAATAAGTGTAAACGAAAAGTCCAAAAGACGATGATAATTCATGATGATAACAATTGCGTTCAACAGAAAATATGCAAACCCTCTCCCTCTAAGGTCAAACCACGCCCACTGCAAATTACCGGAAATTATATCAAACCTGTTTAAAGGAGCAAAACATAACAAATAATCAACAGAGGCAAAAATACACACGATGGCTCCTGCAGTCACGTTTGTTTAGAAACGGCAATAGATGAAGTTAGAGGTGGGAGGAAAAAAAAAAAACGATTTATGTAAAAATCGAGATTCTTCCCTTCTAAGATTCAAAATCATACCTTCCTTTTGATTTTTATAATTGGGCGACATCAGTCCTTCCCTGCTAAGTGCTAAGGCTAGCTCTTTAACTCAGTAGAATGCAGAATAGAGCAGCAAGAAATTCAGCCAGTCTCACAGATGACTGGAGTATCTAATAATTCATAAATAGACTTTGAATCTCTCGGATCAATGAATCCAGAATCAAAAATCAATTCTGAATCGAGTCTTGACCCCAAGAATTGAAATGGAATTGAACCTCGAAGATACTTTTCATTTTAAGAACATCATTACATCATTATGTACTCATATCAGCACTTGGTTTCAGTGAAGAATCAAAGTAGGTTCTTGTACTTGGTCCAAATAAAAGTGGTATCCCTAGTTAATGATTTCACTTTTCCTGCATTTGATATTAGAGAAGGAGTCACATGCATAATTTACTATGGTTGTCTCCAAATGCAGCCCGAGGCTTCGCAAACTAGAACACAACTCGCAGATGGATTCATCATTCATAATCTCTCTTAAACAGACTTAATAAGCTTGAAACCAAATCTCGTCTTCACAAACTGACAGCTGAGATTGTGTGTCGGACGGGGGCTTCATGTTGGGAAAAAAACAAATCTATCCATCCTTTTAATCCATACATCTCACTGCTGCTCTATGGCGAGTGATTACTTCAACAGCCAAAGCGGTCCAAATTGCACACACTGACCCGCCGTCTTGTTTGGACAGGCTAACCTTATTTTGCCCTCCAATCTATCTGGGCCAGAGCCAACTCAAACATTGATTTTTCACACAACTGGCAGGGCCAAATTAGTCTCCCAAACACAGCACAGACAGAGGAGAGAATTCATTGAGTTCGTCCAAAATAAAAGAGGATGGGAGATGGGTTTTTCTCCCCTTTCCTGTAATACCAACTGTGACTGGGTCCTCCTGACAGACCACACCAAGCTGCTCGGGCTGATAACACCGGCCCAGACAGGCAACAATGAAACAAACATTGTAGCCAATTACACACACGGTGACGGATAGAGACTAACAGAGCTGACCACAGCTCCGCAGAGATGGCCCCCAATCTTGCTTTAATTACATTTAGTGACGTTATAATGCATCACCAGTTAATCAGACAAACCCAATGAGATCCAGATGGATCGTGGATGACAGGAATAGCGCTGTTTGCATGATTGGAGCCGCTCGGTAAAGCACGGATTATATTTGTGTTTGTGAATTTGCGCGTGTGGCTCGTTCTGAGCTGCTGGAGTGAATTAAAACGTGTTTTATGGTGAATCATACCACCGTTTTCTCCTCTCAGAGCTGCCGTTTGGAGATTTGCATTAAGCTCTCTCCTTCAATAAGGACGGAAAGCCATTAGCGTAATTAAGCGGTGTTCTTTTGAGAAATATTAATTAAATAAAGTAAAAACCGACAACTCCACACAAGACAAGTCATAAAAAAAAAGAACCTCATTGTACGTACGTTTTAGTCCAGAGGAGGATGATGTGGGAGGTCTGGAGGACGAAGAGGAGGAAGAGGAGGATTTGATGGGGAAGGAGGTCTTCCCACGGCGGGTGGAGGGAGCGAGCACCCTGGAACGTTTGAGGGGGATCACGGCTCTGGGAGGGGGGGCCACTCTGCCGTGGTAGTCAAAAAGCCTCCACAAAAGAAAGAAACGGTAATATTAAGACTTCATTTTGTTCACCTTTTCTTTCATTTGAAGCTGTGCAGAATTCAGTCCATCTCCTAAAGCTAAAAGGTTTTCCTCTTTCTAAAACCCATTATCTGGATATCCTAGGATTGTTATCCCAAGACAGATTTTTGGTTCTCTCTCACACAGTACACATGAAATAAAAGACATTACATTTCAAATCTACCGATATCCCTCTTCTGCAAAACTTTCCCAGCTATTTCCCATCCCCCTCCTCACATATCTTTTCCAAGTGAAGATGAAAGAAGAGGGTGCTAAATGTCAAATGAAGGTGTCAGCTCTGACCGCTCACAGTGACAGAGGACGTGTGTCAGGCCTATCAACAAGTTTGACATTTAGAAAATGTCTCCACAGATATGCTCAGTGATCACAGGCGGAAATATGACGGAGCAAACAAGTGTCCCCTCATTGTGCTTTGCGTGCTTGATCCGCTCAGCTGTGTTGATATGTTGACTATTTAAATGTGCGTCTGTAGGGAGGTTACTGGATTACATCTGACAAGGAGAAATTTTAATGAGGAACAGGAAGCAATGAATCAGGAGGGAAGTCCTACGTGCTGCTGTTTACAGCTAGCACACACGCAGTGTCAATCATAGCCTTGTTTACTTCCACTTAAGTTAAAAAACAGGATTTCTGTAATGTTACAAGTCAGCTGGAGATATTTAAAGGATTGCAAAAGATAGTGTTTACAGTGCTCTACTTTTATGTTCTTTGTGACCTGCACCAAAAACAAAGAAAAATCCCTTGTTTTTGTATCATACTTGGCAAGAAACCTGTTTCTGATTAGCAAGCTAATTTTAGCTTGGCTAGCTAGTTTGATTTTTTTCTTTTATTTTTCTTTCGAATTTCAACAATAGCTCAAAGATTTGAAAACCGTTTAACCTCCACCTCTGTCAAAAAAGGAACCTTTTGAGTGAAAAATATGATACTTTTTGGTCAATTATTTGGTAAATCCATCACTGTATCATCTGCATACAGTATGCATGCAGCTTACATACCCGGACAGGGGGGCTTATCTTTGATCCCAGCTCAATGTTGTCTTAGTGTCACACATTTCAAAGGGATTAATGTTCTCAGTTGGGTTTTTCCCATGAGTCAATATGTTAAAATTATCCACCCACAGTTCTAGCCTACGAATGTTATACTCCTTGACGCCTACAGTATAAGTTACCAGGAAATACATTGTTATAGACTGAAGACATGTAATTTGTAATTTATCTATTCTAACTCCATATCACACTTCCATCTCCAGTTGTGCTTTTTCTATATGAATTTAAAGAGCCATTGCCTCCTCTCCTACAATTTATTTCAAGCTATTAAAGGACCTTAGAAACAAAGGACTGTTGGAACAGAGGAAAGCCCTTTACATGTGAAGGAACTATGCTAAAAGTGAAGTACTTCCTTGCTCAATCCCAAATTTCAAACATAAATGAAATGATACATACCTGCTGTAAAAATCATCCCTGTAGTACTCGTAATCAAATTCATAACCACTATGAGAGACAGACAGACAGACAGGGAGTAAAAAGACAAAGACGAGTTATATTAAGAGCAGCCATATTGGATCAGTCAAGAGTAAACAGATCAAACTCAAACAGTTTTTTTTTTTTAACCTGAATGGACACGCTCTGGTTTATGCCTATAGCTCAGTGCAGGATAAGCAGCAGGCTAAAGCCAAGATGGCATGCGAGATGACAAATCAACAAAGAAGAAAAAAGTTTACAGCTGGAGATCAAAAGAAAAAAGTATTTTCTTAGACTCTGGAGAGGAAAATCAATGTGAAGTACATGCTCAGGATGGCAGCTTGTTTAGAATTCCGAGTAGAGACATAAAATACAGAGAAGCTGTTTTGAACTGTTGCTATTCCCACAATCATTTTAATTAGGATGAATGTATTACTATTTCAATTTAGGGCAGGGTAGTGTTGGTTTTTGCTTCTCCTGTGCCTGCTCCATAATTACCATATTACATCCTGGCTGTTTTTCAGCTGCAGCTATAAAATGCAAATGCAGGTTCATTTTACCACAATGCGCAACTAATAAATTAGTAAAATAGGACATGTAATGCAACAAAAAAACACACTCCTGAAAGGGATACATGGGAGGAGTATAACCTTTGTTTAAAGAAACCAATAGGTTTCACAAAAAGTGCCCAAAGCTGAGAAAAAAAATGTTCGTCACTCTGTCACATTAGACCTCAGCAAACAAGCGGTGCTTTGATCCGTTTGTGACCAGGAGATGTGTGTGTGTGTTTACGGGGCAGAAAATCAGGGTCATGCTTAATGAAGCTTCCACAACAGCTTTTCCTTTGAGCTTTACAAACCCGTGCCAGAAAAACCCCAGTCAAGGTTGGGGAGGCATCAAAAACTCAATTAGAAATTCAAAGTTCAAAAGAAAAAAAAATACACAACAAGAATCCCGTTATTCAAATATGACTCCACATTTACGTCAGCCGCAGGATGTGAAAGATAGTGAATATTTATGACTGGCGCTGCACCTTTGCTTGTGAAGGAGTGCGTTAAGAGAGGCCGATCTTACCTGTAAACAGCTGACAGCGGCCGCTTGGAGCCCGCTTTAGGCCTGTATGGCTTCGGCTCACCCGCCATGTTTATGTCTGCAAAAGAAACAAACACAAAGCACACAGATACGTTACTTGTCAGTCACTGTTTAAAATACAATCTAAAAAAACAGATGAGTTTTTCACCCCCCTGTACAGTGTGTTCCATGTATGAACCAGACCATAAACATGTCTAATTTCTGCTGTACCAATGGGCATTTCAACATGGGACCTAAAGGCGGTTCTTGGGTCAGCCTCAAGTGGACACTCAGAGAACTGCACTTTCTGTTACTTCGGCATTGGCTTAATTTTTCAACCCCAAGGTTAACAGCTTGGTAAGTAACAACACACTTTATCACAGTTGTCAGAACTTACACGCCTGTATTGACGCTATTATAGAAGAAAAATACAGAAACTTTTATTACTGGCTTAATGACCTAATATTGGATTTTAAACTGACAGACTGAATTTAAAACTAATACAAAATTCTAGATATTTCTTAAATAGCACTATCTGCAATACGACAACAAATAAAAATACAATTGTATCTCATAATTTATGATGGGAGTCAAATGTTTTATTCTTTGATTTTGATTCTTATCATTTAATCCTAAAATTCAAAATCTTAATGTTGTTTTTTTTGCTTTCATAAAACATTTAAATTGCACATTTGTCCACATATGTGTTAGTCTTCAGATGTTATTAATAATATTCCATTTAGTTTTTTTAATTTATGCAGAAATACTCTTCATGAGGACTGCCAAAGCTCTGTGCTCATGAGAGCAACGAGATGTGTTTGAAAGCTACAATATACAGTTAGTTATTGTTTCTTGAGTTCTGAAATCTTTTGTCAAACTACTTTCTTTAGATGCCCAGAATGAAGCTAGACTTGAACATCTCTTCATGACTTTCAAACACAACGATAAACATGAAGTCAGTGTTCTATAATTCGCGATAAGGGATTTGGCTTGGTAACTTGAAATCTGATGGCATCATTTACTTCAGCTCAGTTATAATTAAAGCTGCTGTGAGGAGTTTTAAAAACTTTATGCAACAGACTGAAATGAATAACGATGTCTTTATATGAACTACAAAAGCAAATGAGACCATCAGCATGAACAGAGACTGTTTTAGACAATCATTTTCAATGTTTAAAACCCCTTCAGCGAGGTAGCTGTCAGACGAGGAGATAAACAGCAGGGTGCAAAAAAAATAAAAAATTCCCAAGCAAAGATTCACAGTTAGTGGCACATCTGAGTGTTAAAAGACAGCAGTGTTAACACTTCTACAGTAAAACATCAGCAAAGAGATAAGAGGTAACACTTGTGCATAGGGGGCGCCAAAACCGTCAAAAACAAAGTTTTTTACAGGAGCTCTAAGAAACAAACCACAGACCAGCTGTAGATTGCTCGTAGTAAAGTTGTTAAGATTTGACATTAAATATAAAAAAATGATGTTATATCTGCCGACAAATCCTCAAAGTAACTATTGAGTTTTTTTTTTAAAGTGCTTATTAATTCTGAATAAAAAGGTTAAAGGGAGGTTTAATTATTTGTGCTAATTCATAAATATCCTCTTCTCAGCATTACCCTGTACTGTTGGTGTTATAAAGGATTTCAATTGAACACCAGAATTTCCTTTCTGCTGCAGGGCGACCTCATTTAAGGGCAGAGCGCTGTCAATGAAGACGAATAAAACTTCCTCTCTTCCGAGCTCCTCGCACACAGCCACGGCTCACGATGGCCCTGAAGGTTCTGTGTGTAACTCAAAGCGCCGCCTGAACACAAGGGAAACATAAAAGCACTGCTGCATAATGAAGAGCGTGAAATATCAATTCAAGTTCTCAGGAAGCGTTGTGTGCTGTTTCCTCTGTAAAACTGAACTTTTCATTCTGCTTTTTTTTTTTTTGAAACAAGTAGCACACAAAGCAATCGTACTGTAGGATATATTCACTAATGTAGAGGTGCATTGTGGGAGCTGGCGACCTTGGCATGGTGCAGAGAGGAGATTAGAAAATGATATTCTTGCAGCAGGGTAGAAAAGAATCCTTGAATACATGAAAACAATGAAGAAAGCAATCAGAGAAAAACTGAAAAGCAGAATGATTTATAGCAAGCTGTGTTCGCAAATGCTACCATCGGGCGTTGCTTCTTTTTTTTTTTTTTTTTGACGGAACCAGTCAGTGATGCAGATTTTTTTCAAATCGCTATCTGTGCATTCATTGCCAAGGGCGCTGCAAGGTCCTCGCTTGTCTAAATGGCTACTGGGAGAGGAGCCAGGGGGTCAAAATGAGCTCCGTGTCCCTCAAAAAGCATTTCAAAACAGTCCAGAGACTTTATGGATGCGGTCATGATGCAGTGTACGTCTAAAAAGCAGAGAAAATCCACCAACACCTTTAACTGAACTTCCAATTTCAAAGCAGCATTCTCATCTTTATCTGAGGTCAGGGCAGAGCTATCCACACATTATTCTGAAAAAAAAAAAAAAACAGCAAGGAGGATTATGAAGACTATCGATCGCCGGGGGCAAATTGCGGTCAAAATATGCAGACAGCATTTTCTCAAAGGCAGCAGCATCTTCTTTTTTAGATTATCTTTGATATAATTTGCATTCATCTGCATGTTTATGAGCAGCGGCACACTTTGAGAGGCTATTTCACAAAACATCCAGGATAAAAAGTTTTACACTAAGAACAATAAAGCCATCAACGAGGTCCCCTTAAGAGAATAAACCCAAACCTCATCTGCATAAGTGCAAACAAAGATCACTTATAGGCACTTTCTCATTACTGTTTTTTATTTGCATGCAGACACGTTCTTGTGATCATTTCGTCCCCTCCAGCAAACACACATTGGCTCAAATTATAAATGCCTCTGCCCTCAAAATCCAAACACCAAATAAGTGGAAGCAACCCGGTCGCCGGGAGAGGAATATCCCCGGGGTGAAAATAAGCTTCTGGAAAAAGTCCGGCCTCCTTCTCCCAGTGGCTGCTCTCACGAGAAATAGGATTAAACCCCTGGTCTGCTTGTAGACTACCAACTCAGACATCTAAAACATGCGCTTTTTAAGCAGAGCTGCGTGACCAAATGAGTGAAGGAGCGTAAGTGTATACGAGTCTTCACTGAAACTGGAGTTGACCATGAACCAGGCTGCATGATAATGATGGTTTGAGCATTGATGGAAGTACTCTCAGCATACATGATACCAGAGTAAAGGGTGAATCTGAGGCTGATGAACGGAACAAGTGTAGTAAACCCTAGTTTAAACTACAAGATGCTTTGCCACCATCCCTTGAAAAAAAAACAAAAAAAACATATATATTGAAAATACATATCCCTCCACTGCAGGCTTTTCTTTGTGTATGAAGTGTTTTGAAGGGACTAGCTGCACGTCATCCTGTAAAGGCTCATCTCTGGTGCAGCTCTTAGTAGTATCCTTTGTTTCTGTGCAGCTCTAAGTGCTTAGAAAACTATTTCCATGGTCGGGGCCCAAAAACAGAGAGCTTTTAATTACCTCAGCTCGTTGGTTCTTATTTGCCATCCCATTTATTTGTGCTATTGGTTTGTCTGCTTGCTCACTCTGCAGCTCAGTCAGACAGCGTTAGAAGTGGAGCTCTCCGTGGTGCTGAACCAGTTACACTTTTTTCATATTTTGTTTAGGTCTGTTGCACTGCACTGTCTGGGCAGCGAGTAAACAAAAGGTCTCGACCTGCAGCGCTGTGAACACACACATGATACAATTTGAATTTTGCAGACGTGGAATTATTTATAGATGTGTGCTCTTGTCTGTCTCTCCTATACCATGCGTGTCTGTCTATAGATACAGAAACAAACACAGCCCAGGTGTGTCTGAATATTTAAAGTTAATAGTGTTATTTGTCTGAGGGATGGGGTGAAAGGGAAAGGGCGCTGGAGGTAAATTGCGGTGGAAAGACAGAGGCATGCAGCGTAACTAATCACTGAGGACAGACCTGTGTTCCTCCGTCAAGAAAACAAGGATCTGTGACTCCCAGAAGCAACCTGCCCATGTGTTTTATTGCTCTCATTTGTTGCCTTACATCTCTGTCTCCCTCCGACTCTCGCTCAGGCTTCCTGTTCTGCCCTCGGCCTCAACCTATTCCTCAACATCTTTTTCTCTCCCTCTCCATTCGCCTCACTCTCCCTCGCGCGCCACCCAACTCCCCCTCTCCATCCATCACTCTTGTCTCGTTTCCCATACATCTTCCTGTCTCTCGGTGCGCACCGAGGAAGCTCATTATGAGACATTTGAGGGCAGAGCATCACCTGTGGGGGCCTTTTTCTGTTTCGACACCTGTGCAGCCAAACGAAAACCTCGCTAGTCTTATTCCTCCCCTCCTTTCATTAGCGAGGGATGAATAACAGCAGAGCGCTGGAAGTCAAGCCGTTGAATAAGTCAAGGCTATAAACTGGGCCATATGGTGACATGTTGCAGGGGAATTGTGGGAATGAAAAAGAGGCTCCTTTTGAAAATCTACAGGACCAGAAAACATAAGGAGAGGGTGAGTCTGAAAGAATAGGAATGAACACCTGCAGCAGGCTATGAAACATTCTTGACGAGGGTTTGCAATCGAATGCATGTTGATTACTGTGATACATTTTAGAAATATTTATATCCGATTAAAAAGCTATCATTGTGTTTAATTCTGGTGCAGATTAGCGAGGGTGACGAAATTTAACCGTTCGGCTAGTAGTGCCCATCCCACATAACAACACTCCTAAAGTTATAAAATAGATATCATGATAAACACTGATATTGAATAATGTAAAAAAAAAATGAAATTGTCATGATGATGTTGTTGTGATTCTGAAACTGCAGCAGATAATATATGTCTCTCTTCCTCTTAAGCTGGAGCTGAAAGAGATGGTCTAGCTTCTCTCCCACTAACAAAACAGGAGGGAGAAATACAGCAAATAGCCCCGAGACTTCAGAGAGAAGCTAATAAGGGTCACTCAGGGTCAGAGAGAGAGATAGATTCAGACAGATTGTGTCACATGAGCCGAAGAACCTCTTTTTATTAGTGAGGGCACTGTGGTGGA